TTAAAAATCCAATTTTTCCCCCGTTTCCAGGGGACCCCTTTCCAAACCAAAAAAAGGGCGCCCCTTTTTTTCCGGATGCAGGGGCCCTTTTGGTCAATTAAAAAACAGGGGGCCCCCCCCCCCGGGTCCCTTAGGGGTTTCCCCCAAGGGGACTTCCCCCCCCCCCCCCAAAAATCCCCCCCTTTTTTTTTAGAGGCATCCCCCCCCCCCCCCCGTGGGGGAAATTTCCCCCCCCCCCCCCCCCCCCCCCGCATCCCGGGTGTATTGTCAGCGTTGCGAAGCACCGGAGATGGTCGTCGGGGATTTAAACCATAGACCCACCCGGAATCTGTATTGCAGCGATCCAACATGCACGTAGTGGCAGAGGAAAGAGAGAGGTTGGTGAGTATCATCGTGTTGGAGAACGAAGGACCGGTGGGACACAACCATGCAAGCCCAATCTCTCTAGCACCTCGTCGAGCGTGCATAACACATTGCGTGCGATTCAAGGGCATTGTAGAACAATTTCTGCGGAAGTTTAGGACAGCATAACTACCTGCTACGTGTTTCTAACTTACAACGTGGAAGGTACGAAACCGTCGTTGGTGATTGTTGTCTTGGCGCGCGAGCACGCATGCGTTCGACGTGTCTTGAACAAGATTCTCCGAACCACCGTTAAGCGGGCCACCACAACTTCAACAAAGAGGACTAATACCTTAACCGAACGACATGGGGGTGGATGTGCTGTTGGGGCGAGCCTGGGATTCTTGACAGAAAAAATGTCCGGGACCACGATGCATCGTCGTTTTCGTTCCCTGCGAAATCGGCGTGGGTACAAAACCCGATTCGTTTTGGTCTCGGGACCTACTTACTGCATCATCTGGGAGGTAAGGGTTGGACAGTTCCTGCTCCGGTGGCCAGTGACGTCATCACCCACCCCCGAGAGAAGACGAAAGGAACAAAAATGACACGGAGACGCCGACAACAACGGGGGGGGGGGCGACCGGACGGCAGGTATTTGTCAAGGGTGGCCGGTCAGATTTCTCACGCCTCGAATGAGACTATCACTGTTATTGTTATTGTCGTTGTTGTTGCTGTTGTGACTGCTGCTGCTCATCGTGTGTTTCGTCCATTATTTCCCTCGACGGGCGTCCGCCTCGAATGAGAGTATCGCTGTTCTTGTTGTTGTTGTTGTTGTTGCTGTTGTGACTGCTGCTGCTCATCTTGTGTTTCGTCCATTATTTCCCTCGACGGGCGTCGGGGTGTAACTGACCACCGCCGGAGACGTCGGTGTTTCCAATCTCGACCCCTAAGTCAGAAGTCACGTCTGAAACAAGAAAAAAAGAGCATCAGCAAGCGTGGTCTGCGTCCTGCAACAAAACGTCTCTCAATCGAGAAAAAAAACGGCAGTGAGCAGGTTGAGGCCCATGGAGCACGCAGCACAGAGAGGACGAAGACCCGAACACCAAGACCAGCAGCAGCAGCAGCAGCAGCAAAGTAAAAACAGACTACCTCTTCAGAACAAACAGAGGCACAGGAGTGCGCATGCACTACGGCAGACCCTTTGTGTCGCAGCGTCAGCCCTCACCGAGGACGGCCGCGGGGGCCCCGGGGCCGACGAAGGAGCGATGGAGTAGGTGTAGCCATTTCCACTGCTGCTGCTGTCGGTCCGCCCGCCACCGCCGCTGCCCCCCCCACGGGCCGATCCTGTTTCCCCTCCCGTGAGCACCCACGGGGGAAGCTGCGGGTGGTGCAATACAGAAACGAACAGGTGGCACGCGGGTATTCGAGCGGGCGGGTCGTTGGGTGGGGTGGGGGAAATGGACAGGAGAGGGAGCTGTACACGCCTCCGCCAACCCGCGGAATGACGTTTCGCCATCCCATGAATTCTGGACGTCGGCGATTACACCTTTCTATGTCGGCACCATTCTGGGCGAACCAGCCGGGGTCACGCGTGGGGAAGGCCACCTAGGAGGTTGTTCTCCGCTTTCTTGTTTCGACGCTTGCCTTGATTATTGTCGCGAAAAGGATCCACCCGTTCCTTTCCCTCGTCGACTGTGAAGTCAAGTTCTTGCGTACAGTTCATACGAAAGTATTGTCTTCCACAACTGTTTGGTCATATTGAGGGATGAAAACAGTTTGTGTGACTCCACCGGGATTCGAGCCTACGTCCCACACGCCAGAAGATTGCGACGTAATCTACTGAGCCACTTTTCTTAGTACTACACCAAGGCATCAATATCCATCTGCCTGAAAGGGACTAATACGCGAACGAACCACAAGGTGGCACCAGGTGTGGTGGAACACTATATTATATTGGGACAGGAAGAACACAAAGCAACAACAAACAAACAAACAAACAAACAAACAACCAAGCAACACTCACACCAACGGACAACCAAAAAAATGTCAACATGCAAACAAACAAAGAGATGAAGGGAGTTACACACAAACCTCGTTGGTCGAGGTGGTCGAATGCGCCGAGGCGGGTGGAGTGGGTCCTGGTGGCACCGATGAGCGAGACCTTCTCCTGCCGAAGCTAGGGAGGTACCCTAGGACCTTCTTCATGCTCATGCCACCGCTGCCGTCGCCGCCCCTACCGCTGGCGACGCTGTCGCTGCCCTGGCGTCGTCGAGAGAGAGCCCTCCTCGTGCTGCGGACGGAACAGATAGCGCCAAGTGGCCAGAGCGCGGCGATGACATTTTCTCGCTGTGTCTTTTCGTTTCTTGCGTGCTATTCTTCCAACAAGGACACGCGTCTGGCGCTAAAGATTGAATGGAGGTAGCCAAACGACGTCGATACGCATCCGTTTACATTTCAGCCGGGCATGCATTATCGCTGCAGCGGTATCATGAACTATCCTTGACCCAGCACTTTCAGGAAAAGAGCGAGTACGTTGATTCATAGAGAACGCGTCAAACGATGTACACGGTGATTCGTTGACATTCCGTCCGTTTTGTCTCATCTAGATTGCTTCTCATCTTGATTTCGTACAGGTCGGCTCGTTTCCGTTTCTCGCGTCTGTTGTACTGTTGAAGCATACGAACAATGTTCTGTTTGAATTGATTACTATTTCTTGACTCTGCAGGGTCAGATAGCACGGCGGTAGAACGAGCTGCCATGGATATCCGCAGGAGGTGCGTCAGCATCACTCGCAGCCTGGAAACATTGGGACTGTTGCAGGCGAGCTCGGTGTTTCTCCCATTCCCTCGAGATGGGTCGAAGGGCGTGCAATACGGGGTAGCATTGTCTTAGAGGCTAAAAAAGAACCAGCGTCGATATTGCTGTGTTAGGGCCAAACAATTAATATGGCCCGTGTCGCCCTTGTACGTGGCCGGTGGACTCGCGAGACACAGATGTAGCATTCAAGTTGGTTCATATCGATCCAAATCTAGTGTCGCGTGCCCGGTCCGAGGCCGGCCAAAATCCGGTGGCTAAACGCCGACTAGTGCAGGAACCACGAGCTGCTGTTGTACCGCTAGGAAAAAAGAGACCCTTCTATGGAGTTTGTTTTCTGCGATAACTCGATTCCAGTTTTGCACGGCGAGGTGTTGCCGAAAGCCGCGTTCCAAGTGTGTGTCGTCGTCGTTACCGATAAAACTGACGGGGGGGGTGTCCAGCATCAAGGCGAAGAAGTACGTCACCCCCATCCAAAACTTGTTCGGCAGCCAACCGGTAAAAATAGCGTCACCAGAGGAACGCGTGTTGCCCATGTCCCCTTCACCCGGCAGGAGAACGAGGGAAATCCGTCCACCCGCGCAAACCCACATCACAATAAACAAACGGCTGAGCACAGCCAACCATGAGACTAACGTACAATCATATTACACATACGAACTAATGGTTTGTACGGACAAACCAAAGGGGCGGGTGGTGATGGCGTGGCTCACCTAGAGGAGGTAGCCCTTGGTCTTCCGATGCCGCCCAAGTCGTCGTCGGAAACGAAGGGTTCTGCGCCCGGGCTGGTCTCCTCGCCCCGTCTGGCTCCGCCGGAAGAGCGCTTGTTAGATGCCGGCAGAGGTATCGCTGCACAAATAAGAAAAGCAAATAATGGCGTTTTTCCGAATCGAGAGAACACCCACCCCCGTCAAAGGTCTTGCGAATCGCAAATAATTGCATCGACCGCGCTAACCTGCTGATGGCCAATGAAAAGATTTCAGTCTTAGGGCGGCGGCTGAAAACAGAAAATGTCATGATCTGGGACCCAGTGAGGGTGTGCGTGTGCGTGTGGTTCAATGCAAGTGGTGCGTGAAAACGAAAACGTTGGCTTGTTCTGAGAAGTATTTGAAGAATCATCTCCTCATTGCATCAAGATAGCGGTACCATTGTTCAATTGCCTCCTCTCCACGAAGCTGAGAGAACACCAACCGATAACCTACTGCTTTGTCGCCTGTTTTCGTTCCCATACGAGAGTGTTGGCCTACCCATCCCCAGGCTCTTTTCTAGGGATAGGCAGCGGTGCTCGTCAGCTAAACACTCGTTGTCCTTTCTACCGATGGATCTGGTTTAAATCGTTCTGCTCGGTAAGGTGGGCAGGTGCATAGGTCGGCCACACCTTATAACGCCTGTGAAGGAAGAAACAACAAAACCTTGTGCTTTTTTTTTAGCGAGGCAACGGGGATGATCACCGTGGATCCCCTCGCTCTCGCTCTCGTGGTATGTCACAGAAATTAATGTATCGTGAGTGCGAGAGAGGTAAATGGGGAAGCCTCACCATCGTCGGGGTAAAGGTTCCCGGCCCATTTCTGCACCCTACTAGTGTGAAGCCGAGCGCGTATATGAGTGTCTCCGATGCCCTCCATCTTGAGCATGAGGAATGACGCCTTGTATTTGGTCGCGCCCATGTTCCGTAGACCCGGTGAGGATCTATGTCAGTCATGAAGGGGGGGAGGGGTCGCATTCATGTGTTGCATGTCTTAGTTGTCAGACCACTGACAACGCGACGTCGATTTGTCGGAGCACTGCTGTTCCCACAAGACAGATCACCGATGGCCAATCGTTCGTTCCTACTTCTCCAACGGTTGTTCAACATCGTCCGTTCCTGCTTCGACAAAGGTGGTTCAACAATGTTTTCTGTCCTATCGATATCGCTTCTTGGGGGAGGCTCAATATCACGCGTAGTCGTGTTCTTGACGCTATCGACCCCGGAATCTTCCGTGTCAAAACGTGCTATTCTGCCACGGCCACAAGGCGGATCGACGTGTAATACCGTAGTTACTGCTGTTGAGTAGGTGCGCAGCGAGGACAACTCGGAGTCCTCCCGTAGGTGCCGTTGTTGGTTTGGCGTATTGAAGGAGAACATGGGCATGATCAAAATCAAGCCAAGGGGCGTCACCCAACCGAACTAGAAACCGTGCTGCCGGTTTCGCAGACACCACAAGGACTAACAGAAATAGCGAGAGTTGCAGTCAGTCGTGCTTGTGGATAGAAAACCAGGGTTAAACAAATTTGTGTCGTGGTACGTGACAATGGGTGACGTTTTTCAACAAACAACAGCAGCAGCAGCAGCAGCAGAAACAATGCCAACTACTGGTAACAAGCACTGAGGAAGGAGAGGCACTTGCGAGAAAGAGGAGAAGCGGTCGAGCTCGCGGATGTAGCAGTTTCCCACCAGCCCCGTGCCGTTTCCCGAACCGTGAAACATAACGGTGTCGAAATCGTTTGAAAACCTAGTCGAAGAGAAAGCAACAAGGTACAATTGGGGGGGGGCGGGGGGGGGTACCGCTGTTCACCGGTACCGGAATCGGGGTGCGAATGGATAGCTGCTGCCGATGAGAACAAATGACCGGGCGCCACACCTACGCGCAGAATTCCAAGTTTACCGGCCATCGGAGATTGCCCGCCAACGCGAAACGTGCCAGGGTGCTGTTCAGCTTATATGTGCTCTTTCGGGTGCCCTCGAGGCAACGCACAGCAGATGCGGTGTGTGAGTATCGTGCTTGCAAGCGCGGCGTCTGCCCCTGAGCGATCCTTGGTAATGGTCCTGTTTCGATGAAGTGGCTTGACATATCTCGAATGGGGGTGAATGACAATAAGCCAACCTACCAGCCCGCCCTCGTCAGCACGACCTTAACCCCATGGCCAACATCACTACGTTCGCGGACCCCGCTATTGCAGAGGAAACGAATTGCCGGTGCCAGCCATGGAACGGATGGATCGAGCCGTTAGACACACGCCCATGAATACATTGAGGGCCTACGACGGCGCCAAAACTCCCCCCGGCGGCGAGCCACCGTCCTCACCTGCACGTCATGACCACAGCCACCTGGTTCGCTCCTTCGTTGCGCTTGTACTTTCCCGAGATCTGACCGAGCCATGATGTCCGCCGCCACCACAGCCGCCGCCGCGGCCGAACACAGCAATAGGGAGTTCACGAACAGGGTGGTGAAGAAAGCAAATTCGCAGCACTTTACACGAGCGAGAAAACGTTAGGGCGCGCACCCTCTCACGAAAAAAACTACCGAAAGGGCAGAAAAGGGGGGGCAGGGAGCAGGTAGGTGTGGACACAAGAACCACTGGACGGATACTTCATGAAAATCTGTTTACGTTGGAGGGAGGGTGTTAAGTGGGAACAACATATCCATCGATAGTACAACTGTTGACAGGTTTGTAGCCCGAACTGGGTTTTTGCCGTGGTTCGAGGTAAGATATTTTGGAGATGAAGGCAATACTTCCAAGAGTATAAAGAGGAAGAGCAGAGCAGCAACAACAGCAGCACCAGCACCACCAGCACCACCAACACGAACAACAACAACAACAACAACAACAACAACAGCACGAATTCCAGCATCTTCTGCAACGGTGAAAACGTAAACAACAGCGAAAGGACTAACCTTGCAAGCCTTCCGACCTTCCTCGAACCCCACTCCATAGACAGCTCCTTCCCTGAACCGGAGGTACATGTGCTGCACAACCTCGTACCGCCCGCCGCTTGGTTGGTACGTCACTGTCGCGACAGACCGTGTTAGGATAGGAAGGGGTGTAGGAAGAGGTGAAGCATTCAGGTCTACACGACTACGTTCACGAATTTGTGTGCGAAGAGAGGTCGGAGGGCGGTGGGGGCGTCCCTGTTGTCCTGAACGGACCGACAGGGGGATCGGCGTTGGATATGGAGCGCATGCAAAGGCTCGGCGAATGAGATGTCAAGCAAACTGCCGACGCCAGACGCTCCGCGTATGTACATATCTGGTCGCCTGCGCCATTCTTCCTGTCGGTCAAAACGTTTTCACGCAAACCGCACTGTTTTCCCTTTTCACCAGGACGTTTATCCTTCCTGCCAGGCAACCGCGTTCATTGACGGAAACGGCGTTCCATTCCGTTTTTGTCACGCGCGTTCATTCCGCTCGCGTTCTTCGCGTTTGCGGGGTTAAGTATCATCCCTCTTATATACCTGGTAAAGGTTGCCTGCGAGGTTCACAATTGTTATCTTCCGGTATCCTGTGGCTTTCCTCACAGACACAAAACACGGTTGGTTCTGGTCGCGTGCCTGGCCGGGCTAGCCCGCAGTACAGGCATCTCGTTTCACTCCTTTCACTCCTTTCACTCCGTGTGCGTCGTCGTTCACTCCATCTTCGCAAGTGGTGATTTGACGCAACAGCCAAACTCGTCGTTTCCAGCTTCATGGAACTAGCTGCTGGTGTGCCATGTTTATCTGCACTCTGGCGTATATTCTACATAACAGAGATGATACAATATTGTTTGTAGCCCGTCGCATGTACTGCTTCTACACATGAACATATTCAGATGCATAAATAGAAAATACATATCTGGCACTACATACAATGTAAAGTGTGGTATGTACTGGGTTGCACGTACCGATCCAATTGGCCTCTTCATCCAGAACGAGCACGTCCGTTCTTATCGGGTCCTCGTATTTGTTGACGAAAAGCTTGGGCGGGTTGCGAGGGTCAACCGTTTTCAAAAACCTTGAACTGCGCATATAATAAGTGGTGGTGGGTGTTGTACGCGAGAAACGAAGGGCGGCGCGGGCGTTGCGTTCTGAGGGTTCTGCGGTTCGGTTCAAAGCGGAAGCCTGGGTGAGGCTGTGGATAAACACGCACCATCTATACTGTCCCTTCGATAAGGGTGTCTACCAACAACACACAAAATACCACACATACCGAGTCTCGTGCTGGAATTGGTTTGGTTCCCCCGTGCGTGCTCGCACGCGATAACGTGCCGAGTCTCTTGCCGCTGCCGCCGAATATCGGGGCACTGGCGTACAGGCCACGTCGAACGCGCCCGAAGTTTTCATCCTTCATACTGATTGGGTACATCGTCGGGCATTCCGTTGCAGGTTTCTACTCTAGCCCACTCCGCCACCACAGGCGATCGGCAACGATCATGCCACTACTGCAGCAGCCCCAACCCCGACAACAGGTGAGGGCTTGGTTGGTGTGCATTGGGAAAGCTCTGTTGTTTTTTCAGTAGATCGTTTGCACACATTTTGCAACTCTATGAATTCATTGCTAACCTATCCCAGACGCTTATGTATCTGGGTATGTAGACTAAGTAGTCTACAGTAGTGTGTTTTTTTTAATGAAGAAAACTGAGGGAAGAAATTAATTGTTTAATGAATCTCTTGGCTACGCGGGGAAAGTAAACGTTCGCGACTTCTCTTTAGCAGGAAAGACACGAACACAGCAGCAGCAAGAGACCAGAAGAATGAGTGGCGGTTGGCGTAGGAGCGGACACAGTGTGCGTGCTACGACAACCAGCACGGTCGTCGTCTTGGCTGCTACCAAAGCTTAGCATGATGTGCCACAGGATAGACTAGTAGACTTAAGTAGTCGCTGGTGGGGTTGTATTCAACCCACGCGCATATGTTAGTATACATGCAGGGGAGGTGCATGTACTTGGGTATCGTGCCGAGCATCCTGGAGTTGTAATCTTGAACCTGACGATTTCTTCCTCGCATGACTGCACCTGAAACGTTCGTATCGCTTCTCTAGTCTTCTACTGCTGGCTGCTGTAGTCTGGATATTATGCTCTGCACTGATTCTCTCGCTAAAACGGCCATCACCATCACCATCTTCTGCAGCAAGCAGCAGCAGTCAACAGCAACAACAACAACAACAACAACAACAACATCGTCTTGCTTGTGGCCCACCTGCTGGGCCATTTGAAGCTTTCGCTCGTCGGTGGGTCCTCTGTCCCGCAGTATTTCGAACAGCAGCAGAACACTGCACAACGCGGGGGTCGTACAACATGAAAGCGTAGGGCAGGTCCATGTAACAGCAATCAGGAGAAGGTGTGATGTCCACCAGGGGAAATGACAGGGCGACACACGAACGCCAACGATCACCGTTTTCGTGATGAAACCAACAACCTCATTGTTACAACGAAGACTTCATACACTTGCGGGAATATAGAAGTATGTACAGTAGTACCATTTATGTACGGACAACGACAAGAATGGGCACTGCCTCGATGGCTTAATTAATCCGTCTCTTTGGCAGTTATTATTTCAGGAACATTGCAGCTGAAATTTTGTCCTTGACTGTCAGCAAAGGAGTGAAACGACAACTCAATCTTGCGTACGGACGGCGTACACATTGCGTTCCAGTAGGCTTCCAAAAACGGAGATGCCCCCAGAGGTACACCCTGTAGGCACATGACATAGAAATCGGATGGGTGGTCTCTATAGACCTACACACCATAGATAGGCTGTGGTTGCATTTCGTTGACCCAGTACTTCATTTAATCTTTCTGCCAGCGTCGTTGAGGGCCCGCAAGTGTGCACACGTGTACAATCCACGTCCAATACGTCCAACATCCCGACGATGCGGCAGGCGTCAGTGATAAATCTGTCTTCCACTCAGAAAATAATCAAGGCATCTTCTAGAACTACAGATGAGAGGGCGGGCGAACACGGACTAACTTCTTTGCAACCACGAGGGCATTGCATGCCCTACGATTAAAAGGGTGTCACACACAAAACGCCCGACCAGTACCTAACACATATCATCTGCACCTTCCCAACATAACATATATGAGACACACAAGACAGCTACCAAACTGTCGCAGGGGAGATGTCCCTATATGCTGTCTGGGAAATCGTAGACATACAGGTACTTTCTGACGCTATGAATCCATTGCTAATCTGTCTCAGACTCTTTTCTATGATAGAGATGGTTTCGTTGTGTCATATTAAGAAAAATAAAAAAAACAGAACCGGCACATCAAGAGGAGGAATCGATAGTACGCCTACCTGTGCCTTCGCCTTGTTTCCCGACGGGTTTTAGTCCCTTGAACGAAACGTGCTTCAAGATGTAGTCTACACGATGAAATAAAGTCTACATCCCGCGGCGCCGGCAACTACTTTCTGGTCAATACTCCGAGTAGATAGTGATCACCACAGACCAGAAAAGGCTATCTCTACGCGGACGGCACAGAAACCTAGTGAGTGTGCAACATTCGACACATAACCTCTGAATTATTTCCGTATCTACAACGGATGCAGCCCAGAAAAAGAACAGGGCAGGCCGTACCCAAGCATCGAGCCTTATGCCATGTATGGCTCGGAAGAGGTGATACGACTACATACAGCGTCGAGTTTTTTTTTTTTTGGCATCAAGGTCAGGGAGTCCATCCGAAGCAGCATTGTTGGCAGCACTTTTCGACCAACAACACCTAAGGGGGTGGAGGTCAATCCTCTTCCCCGACCTTGTAGTTTATCTGGGAAAGGAGCGTCTTCAGGGATCGAGGATCGGATATCGTGTGAAATTTGGGAAAAGTCGAGTCACACACGCATTTTCTTCAAACAAATGGCGGAACTTGCTTGTTTGTCGAGGAACTTTTGTGCACAAGTACGGCCTCATGAAAGGCGACCTGCACCACTGTTGGGGCTTTTACACTGTAGGTTCTTCCACGCCAACCCACCCTCTCCAATGGGCAACATAAGCGCCGGCGCATGGTGCCCCATGTCAACCGCCCAAAAGGCACTGGAGGAGCGGGCAGTAGTGCAGGAAGATCACACACGCACGCGTGCACGCGTTGGAGGTACGCATACTGTTGTAGACCGCATATATATGTAGGATTATTGGCGGCATGGTCTCCAAATGCTCGGTGCTTCCTGTGGTGCCTGTCCCTGTTCATGTCATGGTATGTATGTTTGCCAAACGATGCACACGCCAGAACGACTCTGGACGATGACCAAGTTTCCGCATCTAGTTCACCTGTGCTGTCTTTCCCTTACCTCAAAACCAACTCAAGAGGTAAAAAAGCGAGCCCCAAGTGGAACACTTGTAGCAACAAACGTAGCACCTGTAGACTGTAGTCCCGACATGACTATAGACTATCTGACGTTGCCACCTGCCCAACACTCCGACCCTGGGTAAAGCGCGCGTTTGCCATTAAACTGGTAAGTAAGCCAGATGAATTGCGGATGCACGACAACCAACTACTGAGCTGAGGAGAAGGTGCGGCCACAGCAAGAACATCACACACGCTTCTCACCGGCATCATCACACGCAAGGCATGCCTACGAGTAAATACCAACGGACTCGGGAGCGAAACAGCCGACGGGAACACAGACAAACACGGCGAGTGTAGGATGTTCGAAGGTGCCGAAACACAGACCGGAACGTTTCGAACTTGAAGGCAACGACAACTAACCACACTTGCGTTCGCTGCAACGAGATGTTGTTGCTCCCACTCACCGCACATGGCCAGCAACCCGGCACCGACGAAAACCGCCAGGGCGAACGAAGGCAACTCCACTCCAAAGACATTTACGGTGTCTGGGACGAACGGCACCAAGAACATGTTGCTGTGCTTGTCCCTCGGTCGAGGGTTTAGTGTGCTAAATGGTTGGGTTCTCAAGGACCGTGGGGGGCGCTAGAAGGAGTGGATTTTCGTGATGCTCTGATGCACACCAACGCTGCCAGTGGTCCGCATTAATGCATGAATCCATGACGTACCGTAATATCGATAGATCGATTGGCGGATTCAGTTTTCTCCTCTGCGCCTCACACGCGAATGATCGAACGCGGCTTGATCTCGCTGACATAGGACTCGCCTTCAGCAAAAACACGTGACGACGCACACATTAGAAGGAGCGATGCAGAGTTGCCTCACCTTCCCACATAAGCTAGAAGGAGAAGCAACCAACCTCAACCGCAGTAGGCGATCATAGAAACATGAATCTCCGTGATCTCCGAAACGGGGGGTGTCTCCTGACAGTCCCATGTTGATGCATTTCAAATATCAATATTTTTTGTACCATCAAACACAACAGCAGTATTGCTGCCCCGTTACCATACAGTGACCTGAGCCTGCCGTCGAACGTGCGCGCGGGACATACATCCTCACCTTAGATGGGGGTTAACCACTTCAAACTCGTATTATTGGCATCCACGAATACACATAGACTTCGCACCGACAGACCGGAAGTTCGTCCGTCTGGCACATGTGCCCCAAACCCTCAGCTCTCAGCGCGTCAACGATAGCGTGATACTATGTCCTAACCAGATCTGGAGATGACGTCGCTTGGGCGACGCAATAAATAGCGAATAGGTTGCGGGTGAGGGTCACGCTGGTTTACTGTCGAGTGGAGGCAGGGCTTCGGCCAGTGAGTCTCCGGAGGGCGCAGTCCGGGGGCGAGCACCCTCGAACGCGGGGAAACAAACACAAACCGCGGCACATGCTATCATCTACTATGGTTGATATCTTCTTGTTGTGGCTGTCTTGCTGCTGCTGCTTTGCTGCTGTTACTTTGCTGCTGCTCCTGCTTTGCTGCTGCTGCTTTGCTGCTGCTGCTTGCCCCGCCGCTGTTGGTCAGCACACGGGGAGGGCATTCGTTTGCTCTCGGGTGGGCTGTGGAGCTCGTCGTAAAGGATTCTCCCATGTCCTCTCTGGCAAGCACGTGGCGAGACGAAACGAAAGGTACGTGGGTATCTCTCCGTCTCGTCCACCACAAATGCAAACACGGCAATATTGATCTGCAATGATGCATGCGAGTTCTGTTTCGGCCGTCGTGTCAACCATGCTTCGTCCAACTATGGGGCGAAGCCCGCTATCCGACCCAGTTGAGCTCGCTGGAGTTTTCAATTTGAAATCTGAAAGTGGGGGACATCGCCATACTAAGTCCCCACACAACTTCTAAACCAAGCGTTCTGTGGGCTCGCTCTTGGGCTGGGTGAGACGTCTAGATGTGTAAATCCGGTTAAACCCGGGCCGAAGGGTTGCGTATCAATTACGCAAATACGGCTCAAATTATTTCCCGAAATAGATATGCCGAGTATGAAAAATCGCGAACGAACGTCATCACAGACAGATGGTTACAAATCCTCTCCAGACTACGGGGTACTGCCGAAAAGGTACTCTTGTGACACAAAGTCTAGTCTATAGACCTTGTGTCTACCGTAGTGGCGACGAAGTACGAAACCGAGTCCCGACCAATAGTAGCGGTCTGGTGCACTGCTCTATTGTAACGTTCCAGCCACCTGTGATGATAGGATACATTTTCCGGAAAGCTCTTGGCGAGACGCTTCAACGCCGTTTCGGCACCCCCCACTCGAACTGCTGCTGCGGAGAACTAGAAGTTCGGGAATCAACCTTCCTTGTGTCACCTAGGTTATCAAGGACGGGCACTCCACCACCATGTCTGGAATATGAAATACAGGTAGATTTACACATATCTATGCATACATACAGTTATTGACATAAGAAATAAAACATGCGGAAGGCTTTTTTGGAATTTTGTAGCAACTACAGGTGTCGTAACCATTGGTGCAAGACACGATGACACGATGGCGTGAGCATATCTTGCAAATCGTTGAACAGGAGCAATGTGGGTACGACTCTTCTAAAAGCCACGGCGGAGGTGGGGACTGGGGAAGTCTTCGGACTGGCAAGTCTTGGGACTGACAAGTCGTCGGACTCTCTGGCAAGTCTTCGGGCTGGGAAGAAGGTCCTCACTCCCTTCGAAAAACTCTCTCTCTCGCTCTTCCGAGACCTTCTCCATGCCAAATTTCTTCAAGGTGGTAGTAGTTAAGACTACCACGACCCGGGTCTGCTTCTAACCTGGGAAACCTGTGTCTATATACAGTCTAAAACAAGCTGCTTCAGAGTTGAGCACCTCACTGTACCGTTATCCTTTGCGCGTAGTCAGGAAAGCCGTTGCAACATGTGCCTAAACCATGCATGCATACATTACATGTATGCACGAAAAACTTGCCGTGGGACACTGGTGTGTTGTCACGTACTGTATGTATACTGCTGTGCATCCACCGGTCGGTTCGCCTCTCAACACCACACCTTCGTGTAGAAATAAGAAATGGGCCGAAAACATTGGTCGCACCGGCCTTCCGGGAACATGCGTCACAACTTTCCACGAACGTATGCATACGGTTATTGTGATTCCTCCAGGCGTGGCTGGTTTCTGGTGTCGGAGAGTAGCGCAACGGCATACACCTACTTCGCAAGTCGGAGACAGCGCAACAGCATGGACACGTATACATAGCGCGCAGTGTTTTTTACTCTTGAGCGTTTCTCCAACAGGGAACAATCCAACGATCCCACTCCAACACTGCCTATGCAATGCGCTCCATTCCGCGCTTTGTGGTCAAGGGGAGCTGCCATCGGCGTTCGTAGCCGGATTTCCTCATCAATCCGCGCATGGACAGCTTCTTGTGTGGCTGGCACGCATAGTTAGCCAAGCCGGTGTCTCTCTAATCCTTAGAAGTACCAAATCTAAACAGCCTTGGGCATTAAGCAACGCCGCAGGAGTATGTTCCGCCTGATGACCTGTCTGCGGCACACCAGCAGGCAGTGCCGCGCCGGTCAGGAGGCAGTGTCAAGCACACGCTCTACAAAACGCAATGTGCACTTACTTGTGTCTTATGACGAAACCTTACGTAACGAAAACTGCAAAAGTAGTATTCTAGAATATCTTGTGATTGTGGTGCAAGTAACTCTCTTGCACGAATCGCAACAAGAACAACATACGGAGATGAGTTAATCAATTTTTCGGCGCTACGACAGCGGTACTCGACCACGACTTAGGCACCAGCGAGTGAAAAAAATCATACTCACAAAACTCAAGAGCTTGAACGGAAGAACGGGTGAGATCTGTTGGGAACTACAAAAGAAAAAAGCCTTGTCCTAAAAAGGACGTTCTTTCGTGGCGGCGCGAGTACCGTATCCCGCGACGACTAGGCCTCCATGAGAGAGCACAAATTACCGACAATGTACGACTTCCGCCGGCTACGAAACCAGGTATGCATAGAACAAGTCCGCGTCACCCCGTCCTACAACATTTCCTCGATGCAGAAGGGGGTGGTGTACTTCCGAACCCCGAGGAGCACACTGCTATGCGGCCGAGGCAAAGCAGAGAAACAATACCACAAACCGGACGGAATACTACAAAACACACGAAAAAAAAAAAAAAAAACACATGCACAACACCCGCTGCGTTTCAAGAATCCCAGGGCAAGACGTGCTGACATCGAGAGGAATCCACAATGGAGACGCAAACCTTGTTCATGAAACAGCCCTCACCCGGCCACTTGGATTTTACCCGCCGCCACCACCACTATTTTTGCTCATTTCGAGAGAGATCGAGAGAGCCGGCAGCGTCAACCAGTGGACTCCCTCCACAGCGGAGACGCAAACAATTTGTTCATGAAACTAAATAGCTCTCGCCCGGCAGCTTGGGCCCACTCGATCCCTTCGAGTCAGCTGGGTCTCAGGGTGCACGAGCTTGGCATACGGAGGCCGAGTCTCCGGGCGGTAGCACCAGCACCTTCCGGAGGTCCGGGTTCCATACCTCCACCTGTCGGGGAGAATCGACGGGAAACGAACACCAAAATTATCCAGGCACAAATAAGTGAACAGAGTCTCGGAACTTTTATTTCGGTTGGACGCTGCCTTCGTTTATGAACGCATGGACACCCCTTGGTGTGGGTCAGGTCTTGTACACCACGGGAATGTGTGGCCCTTGTGCCCTTTACAGAGGAGGCTCCGTGCAAACGTCGGAGCGATTTTCGATGAAATCCAGCAGCAGCAGCAGCAGCAGCAGCAGCAGCGGCGGCGGCAAACAAAAACAACAACAACAACAACAACAACAACAACAACAACAACAACAACAACAACAAGACGGAGGAATGCTCGCCGCCACCAACTGCAAGACGATCTGCTTGCTCAACGGCTATTTTTTTCACAGTACGAATGAAACCGCAAACAACGCGTAAAGCTCATCAAACCACACGTGACATGCACACTATTTGGTCGGCATTTGCCCAGCAGCAGCATGAAGTAGTCTGGCTCGCGCTGATTATTTCGTCGTACCTCGACAAAAAAAAACACGCACAGAAAGAAATAGCGTCTAGACCGACGCACGCTGCGTAGCAAAAAATACACCAGCATATGTTGTCGGATCTGGGGTGTAGGGGGTCGGGCTCGTGCCTGAAGCTAGAGAGCCCTGGGGGCGCCTGAATAAACGCCGAAGGACGTACATCTCAAAACCGCCACCGCCTAGAACCGGTGACGACCTCAGATTCGAACAGACTGCTTATCTGGTCTCAAACACGTTTGTTTTGTTACTTTCTAGTCAAACCAGCGGTTACCCTGCGGCAAAAACGGCAACGGTGCCCGAAAATGGCACCGCCTCGTCGACAGCTTTCCGAAAAGGTGATCGTTTGGTCTTCGCATCCTCTTTCGTCGTGGAGTAATCTAGCTGTTGGAGACTCGGTCCGCAAGGGGGGTGTGGTATCTACCGGAGTGCCGCGGAGGCGAGACGGACGCTTTGAAAAACGGCCCAGGGGGGGGGGGGGTGGTACTCTTCAGCAATCAACAGCACTTCGCGCACCGCATGGATGCGCACAGGCGCGCCTCACGTCCGGGTTACAGTACTACCCCGCACCGGTGCTTCCGAAACGGGCAACCAAACAACGACGTGCATGCGTACGACAACAAAGAGACGGCTCACTTCTCCCGGAGCAGCGCGCCCTCTCTCCACTACCACGTCCAAGCGAGGAAGCTCCACCAGGCCGCCGCGAATGGGCACGAGGTGGACACGGCAGAGCACTTGGAGCCCGCCGCCCTGCGAAGTCGAGCCAAGCGAGGGGGGCGGCGGAGGGCAAGAAGGCGCTGGTCAAGCAACATGGGAGCTACACCTGTGGCAGCGTGGGCGATGTTTGTGTGTGTCGAGCCTGATCTCTAGGAAGGCGTTGGTATCCTGGCTGCGTGAGTCAACGGGACTCCTTTGTATACGTACGTGCACGGTTCCTGATGCGTCACGGAGCCCCTTTCGTCTCTACGCCTGGGAAGAAAAGTGCTACCTTGCCTGCCCTGCCCGTCGGTATCCTTCGATATCTAAGGAAAAAGAGGTTGAAAAAATTATCTGTGCGGCCGTTACACGGACAAACACAGTGGTTCAAAAAACGTAAATCCCACATAGGCCCGGATGATTTACTACAGGAGAAACCCACCAACAACTAGGGGCAAACAAGCCGACGATGCAGGGTGCAACTACATGACAGCCGTCTACTACACAAGACAAAATATCTACAAAAAGTATCACACCCCCCACACAAGATGCCCGGTGGTAATGGCAATGGCCGTACGGGTCAAAACATGAGCCCAAAAACGAAAAAAACAGTCTCACTTCAAGTAACAGGGCGACAGACGATACCGCACGACACACATCATAGAATATACCCGGTGTCGATGTTAGGAGCCAAAATGACATCACTGGTGTATGTTATCTTTGTGTTGTACGGTAACACCAAGCATCACCGCTGGTGCCCATGACCTGACAAGCTCGCTTCCAGACCGACATCCCCAGCAAGACCAGCGTATTCCTTGATCGATATTTTCCGTTCGACCGTGTAAGAGCGGGCGAGCCCCGTGTGTCGCACGATTCATACAGACCGAAACGTTGCCGCAAGGGTCTCTCGACATTGAACTCGACCAACACCACGCCCACTTCGACCCCTCCCTCTCAAACCCAGTCTCGGTGCTTTTCCCGAGAACTGAAGAAAAAAAATGACAACAATTTTGAAAAAAAACTCATTTTCAAGCCCCAAGAACACGCTCTCCGTACAGACTCAAAAACAGGAAACAAGCGAACCGAGTTGGGCTCTCCTAAAGCAGCTGTTGAAATTGAGGCCGAACAAGAAAGAGGCCAGCGAAACTACAGCAGCGGCGCTGCCAGCTTCGCCCATCCTGCAACAGTTTGCTCCCCGGCTCTAGTTGTCGCATGTGTTCCGCCGTTCAGGCAGGGGCGTAAGCGCCGCAAGACGACATGTCGCGAAACAAGCACTGCAAAAGACTCTCGCCAAACGAAAAATGAAGGACCTTCCTGGTACAGACGTGGCTCCCACATATGAGGGAGGTGTGACAAAGGCCCTCGACCCTCTCACATCGGAGCCCCCCTCTTATACCGGAAAAAGAAGGTGTACCTTGTATTGATTCCGTGTCAACCAATGTCGACCCTCTTACATAGGAGCCCCCTCTAAGAAGGTGCACCCTCTTATATCGGAGCCACGACTGCAGACAAAAAACACGCACGACGCACCTTCTTGTCCAGCTTCGCCGACCCCCGGATCAACCCGCCGACCATCCAATCCGACGGCGAGGCTACCACCTGATACGTGACCGTCGGCGGCGCCGTGCCTCCCGTGCCATCTTCGCCGCCCCCCGAAGCTTCGCTATCGACGACGCCAAACTCGAAAGCCCTCGGCTCGGCAAGCTTTAGACGGGTAACGCCGCCCTTCCCGTCCTCTGCCCCGCCGTCGTCGCACGGCCGCACGGCGGTCGTCAGGCACCGCTGCGCGCGCCCGGAACCCGCGGCCCCCGGGGAGGCGGTTGCCGCGCCGCCGCCGCCGCCGCCGCCGCCGCCGCCGTCCGCGGGGCTCGGGATGCAAACGTCGAAGACGAAGATCTCCTCAGCTTGGCCACTGTCCCCGCTCTCGCCGGCCACGGTCCCGATCGAGTACCTCAGCCGGTGGACCGCTAGCGGCACACCGCCGCCGACCGAGCCTTTCCGCTCCTCGCCCCCGCCGCGGCTGAGCGCCGCCAGCGCCGCGGAAGCCGCCGTCGCCGCCGCCGTCGCTGCCGACGGCCGCCGCAGGCAGGCGGCGAGGCGCAGCGGCTGTCCCGGCGGCAGCGACTCGCCGTTCAGGAAGCCGTTCGGGTCGGACAGGACCTCGGCGCCGGGCTCGAGCCGGGAGAGCTCGCAGGAGCGCAGCGAGAGGGCCACGGGGGCCGTGCAGACCAGCGCCGTCTGCGCGAAGACTACCCCCGCCTGGCGCGCCGTCACTGCGACTCTCGCCTCGAACGGCAGCCTCGGGACGATCGCCGCCCGTGCGTAGGTCCGGCACTCGACCCCGGCGTCATCCGCGGCGGCGGCGTCCGGAGATCGAGAGTGCCAAGCCTCGAGCTCCGCCCTGACGACGTGAGAGCGCGGGGCGACGGCGGGGCCGGGTCCTCCTCCGGCGGGGGGAGAAGCCTCCGCGGTCGAGCGGACGCGCAGGGAGACCTCGGCAACGTACCCGGGCCGCAGCACCTCTTCGAGAGCCACGAGCATGTCGGTAGCCTCTTCTCCCGGGCGGGAGAGAGCCGGCCCTTCAGCTTCGGCTGGCCCGCAGCCGTCGTCTGCACCTTCGGAGCCGCCGCCGCTGCCGCCGCCGCCGCCGCCGCCGCCGCCGCCGCCGCCTCCGCTCAGTCGCCGCCACCGCACGCGCGAAGCTTCGGCGTCCCCCCACGCCAACCCCCTGCCCATCGTCACCCTCAGGCGTGACCCGCGCAGGGTGTCTGGCCCTGCCGTTACGGCCACCTTCAGCCACACCTCGTTCCCCAGTGGAAGGAAAGACGGGGGCACCACCTTTAGCACCGCTTGTGGACGGAACGGTCGCACCACGGCGGAGGGCGGCGGGCGCGGCGCTCCCAGCCAGGCGGACGGTAGCGTTACCCCGGACGGCCCCCGCCCGCGCCCCCCGCCCGAGAGCACCTGGACCAGGGTGACGCCTCCCCAAGCGGCGGAAACCCTCGAGGCCGTGATCACGCCGGCCACCGTCGGCCGCAGGGTGAACACCACCTCGTTGTCGCCCGGCAGCAGCTCGACGGGTCCT